ACCCAAGGCCAGGCTAGATGGGACTTTGGACAACCTGATTTGATGGGAGATGTCCCTGCCCATGGCAAGGGTTGGAGTTAGGTGGGCTTAAATGAGGTCTGAGAAGGGGTGAATCCTGGCTCCACCTCTTCTGGTCACTCAGGTGCATTGCTTGCACCTGATCTCCTCTAGGTTGGCCCTGCCTTCCCTCTAGGTGTTCAATCACTGTCTCAAGCTGTGACTTAGCATTTCCACTATAGCATCATAGCTAATTTCTGGGGAGAAGATAATCAGGACACCATTGAGAAAACGCGAAGTTACACAGGATTAATGTATACTCCTGGAGGAGCATTATCACAGTAAATAAAACTTGAAAGGCACTGCAGATGAATAAGTTAACTGTATTGATAAAACAACAGTCATGTCAACAGAATGCAGTTCCACATCCAAGAGAAGAATGTAACATAGGGTTACTGATGGATTGCTTGACCATAGCAAGGACAAAGTCCAAGATGTCCCAAAGAAGAACACTGTGGGACTACAAGATGCAGTAATAAGGCAAAAAGTCATGCACACTGAGTAAACACAATGACAAAATATGATGCTGAGGCTCAATATTTAGACACCTATGAGCAACTACTTCTTGGAGATGTAGTCAGGGGCGAAGGAACTCTTTGTGCAGCCTACATTTGCTACAGTGTTATTAAAAAGCTGCTTTTGTGAGAAGCTGTAATGCAGTGAGATTTGGTATTGTAGGAAGAAGGCAGCCAAAAATATCATCAGTGCAGGCTTGGATATAGCAAAGAGACCTATGAAAAATGATAATTTTTTAAAAGGAAATTAATAGGAGCCAGAAACGGGTGAGATGTTTGCAAACAGCATGGATGTTGTTTAAAGACACCATAGTAAAGGCTCAGAGAAAATACATGGTATGTATCAGAAAAGATTTTTTAAAAGACCAGAAGAAAGCTACTGTAGTTAAGGATCAGAGCACAGGAGACTATTACAAGCAAGAAGTCTTCGTGTTCAAACAAGGCAAAAATAGAGAGCACGCATTCTCCTACAAAAGGTAAAATAAGAAGATACGAAGAATACCTTTCTAGCATCATGAAAAGATTATTAATCCTTTTCCAAATATGACTGGGTTAGAAAACCTGTCAGGCAGCGTGAAGAGCCAGAGGACTGAGGTTTATGGTGAATAACTTCAGGTCTGCAGGATGCAGTGGATGCATGAAATAATGCTAAAGCAACTTGAATATGAAACTACTAGATTGGCAAATATGTTGCTGGACTTCTCACATCTCAGAGAATCGTGGCATGGCTGAGATTGGAGGCACCTCTGGGTCCATCTGGTCCAATCACCCCTGAGAAGGAGCACTTTGAGCAGGATGCCTGGGACCTTGTGAAACTGGGGAAGAGTCCACGTGGCTTTTGCAGACTGGAGTCTTGTTTAACAGAACTGTCAGCTCTCTGCAGCACCCACTATTGTGCCAGTGTGGTTGGTGTTGTCCTTGCAGGTTTTCAAAAGCCACTACTAAAAGCTGCTGAGTGCGAGAGGGCATAGGCATGATTATTACAGGAGGTAAAAAGTCTTTCACTGATTAGAGGATGAACAAAATGTTTTCACAAGATAGGGATGGCTAACAGGATCCTAGCACTGGGACATGGACTATTGGGCAAATCTGAAGTTACTCGACTATTCACTGATGATTTGAGGATGTGCAAATGAAAACCATTTGCAGAAACCTCATAGCTCCAAGAGGGTGGGTGATAAAATGGCAGCTGAGGTTCTGTGCTGTCATGGCAAATTAAAGCACATGGGGAAAAGCAGCTCTGAAACTCTGACAAGTGCTGGTGCTGAGGAGGGGCTGTCAGCAGAGATGTGATCTCAGAGCGGAGGCAGACAGGGCCATGAAAACATCAGAAAACCATTGCTCAGACAGAAATAAAAAGATTTCTTTCCCCCTCCAAATAATAAACTGAATGTTAGGAGCCGCTAGGAAGTGAAAAAATAATAAAAGAAAACCCATTGTTTCACATTTGTAAGACCACATCTGGCAAAATGCATCCAGTTTTTAGTCTCCCCATCACAAAAATCATGTTGACAAACTGGAGTGAGACTATTGGTGCCCTCAACATTCCTAAAGAAATGGAGTACACAAAATATGAGGAAAGGTTAAAGGAATTGAGATTAATCTTATGAAAACAAGGCTGAGTGGATTTTGTTGCCACCTTCAACTGCCTTAATGGAAATGTTCAGAAGATTGAGCCAAAGTCTTTTTGTAGGTGCAGAGAGAAGGATGAGGTTCAAGTGCACACAGGCAGCAGCAAGGGTGGTTCTGGTTAGACAGATGGGAAAAGAATCCTTACTATAAAGTAACCAAACATTGAATGGGCAAAGGAATTGCCACCCTTGGGATACTCAATGCCCAGATGAACAAAGGCTGTGAGCCGTCTGGGCTAATCTGGCCCTCCTTTGAGTGTAGGATTTGAGCAAAGATCCCTCTATCTACTTATCACTCCAGTGTTGCATTGCAACTCTGTAAGTCATGGCCATGCAGGTGGCAACCGTGCTCATGGCAGGGGATTGGAACTAGATGAGCTATAAGCCCCTTCCAACCCAAGCCATACTATGTGCCCTCACATCTTGTAGAACATACGCTTATTGAAAAAAAGATATAAAATTCTACATCTATTTTCTAGTGGGCTCATTCAGAAGAGATTACTCAGCAGACTGGGTCCCCATGCTAAGGCTACACCAATGCAAGGCTTGGCCTAGCCTAGCATTTTCTATAGTATGCTATATTGGGGAAACAGTGAGCTCAGTCCTTCCTGTGGCCTTGAACGCTGCTTCCATGTGTTGGCACGTCTCTTGCCTGGTGACATGTTTCTATAGGTGAAGTAAAAGTGCTCAAGGTGGAAGCTGTTGGCAGAGAAAGAGAAAAGCTGCTGCCAGGGCCTCTGAGCCTCACGGTTCTGAAAGCTCCTCTCTTCCCCATCTGCCTTTCTAACCAGCAGAGCATTCTGTAACGTCTGTATTTAATTCTGGCATGTTGTGAAGGGCAGAGGGGGGAGAAGCAGTGGGTTTTGTACCAGTTATCATTCTATCCAGTGGCAAGCTATACTTTACGTTGGGGAAAGATGACTAGACGCATGCTTTTGTGACATCAAGTTAGATCTTGGGATGTTGAAAATAATAGGAAAAATGCATTTCCCATTAACTACTCTAGGAGCAGCTTGCACATTTCTGAAAGCAGATGGCATGATGTATATTAAATTATCACTTATGTCGGGGGGCTTATTTTAAGGATGGAAGTGTCGTCTCTTGGTGTCTGTGCCAGAACTGCTCATCCCCAAATGAGGGTTTTTGCATGCCTCTAGCTATCCTGGAAAATACTTGAAGGAACACACCCTCCCAAAGACAGGTTAAAACTGTACCATCGTCTTCTTGTTTTGCATCTTTCAGTGGAAAGGGAAAGCGGTTTTTAAATCCTACTTTAAAAAAGAAGGGTCCAAACTTGCATGAACTGAAACAAAAGAAAATTGCAGATTTCATTGTAAATCTCCTTCATGTAGCTCAAGGGTTGCATTGACAAAAATAACATGAATAAGTGGCGCAAAAATGCCTTGTAAAGAAGTCTAAAGCAAATGTTGAGCCATCAACAATATTTATAACCTCTCACACTCGGAATAGAAGATACCAAGGGACTGCAATTACAGAGATATGACAAATGCTGAATTTTTAATGACTCCAGCTGTAGGACCCTTCATGGTCTGAGAACACTGCAGCTGGGAGTCATAACCTCAGTTTTATCCATGTACATTGGTCCTATCTTATGCACTGTCCAGTTTCTCCGTAAGAAATATTGCTATTGACCACCTACAGAGTTATGTTCAGTTTTGCAGATATCTAAGTTCCATTTTTCACCTTGTTTTGCTCCTCTCCATAGTCTAGGCTCATGATAGACTACTCTTCTGTCTCACTTGCAATGCTTTGCACTCATTCTGATGCCTTATGCCACACAATTGTCAAAACACACTCTTCTGTGAATGAACTGCACTTTAATCCTCTTCACACCACTATTTCTAAATTAGTCTAGTAATTCTATCCAACCACCATGTAAAACTCCATCCGAGAATCAGCTCCTGCACAGGACTCACTATGGGTTTGAGATACTCTGTCTCATTTGGAATATCAGCCCCTGGGGGCACGAGAGGTGACCAAGTCCCATTGATTGCCCTAGGACTGAAATATGTAGAGAGCCTACAGAATTTCAATGCCTCAGTATGTTTGAAGATCTGGACCTGTGCCTTCCTGCACGTGCTGCAAAGCAATACGATGCATAGCAATTCCAGTAACAAATGGAATCTAAAAGTCAGTATGTGGTGTATAATAGTTGAGTATGTGTTCTGATCTATTTTACATATCCTGTTAACTTCTTTCCCTCCAAATATACTATTACCTAGTACTTAATTTCTCTTTCAAGCGACCAGCTGCTCTCAGAAAATGTCTTGATATTTCGGTTCCATTTGAGGTGTGTCTTAACCCATTTTACTATGATTTCTCCAATCTAAAAACATAGGACCTGTCTCCTTCTGAGCACCTGAGCGCAATTTGCCAAGCAATGACAGGCTCTGCTGTGCATCTATTCCCAGAAGAGCCTTCTGTGCTACAGTTCAATAATCGCTATTATTCCTGGATGGCAAAGCAAAGTAAGATATCTGTGGCCAAAACAATGAAAACTTCTCATCACCTTTAATGAAGCACCGGTTTTATGTTACTTTCACGTGCTTTGCCTACGCAAGTCGATGAGAAAGCAGCTCACGTTCCTGACCTGCTGCAGTGGAGGCAGGAGCCCAGCAGAGGGCTCAGGAAGCAGCCGCCAGCCCTCGGAAGCATCAGCATCCCTGGGAAGGTGCTGGGCAGGCGAGGCAGGGCCCGAGGGAAGAGCTCATCTGTTCAATCATATTCACCGTGCTCCTTAAAACATCTCATACAGCATTAGCAAATAAACAAGCAGTCCAGACAACATCAGCTTTTATTACCGTGGATAGTGTCATACATGTATTTTTAATCTTTGCCTGGGTATTTCTTACAAACTTTATTAATAAGAGGGAATGCTGCTGCACAGTAATATATGATTGCACTTAAAGCTTATGAAGCTCCCCTTTGGTTTTATAGCATCGGCACAGCAGGCTGTACTGAGCACCACATGAACGCATTTATAAAAAGCTTATCACAGCATATAGCACGAGAGCCCCTTTTTAAAGCCCTGTATGGGAAACCAGCACTACTAAATGTGATTATTTCCTTTAGCAAGGCCGTGTAAACAATTCTGTCATTTGTTTTTATAAAGTCATCAGTGCCACTGCATACAATCCAGCACCAGCTGACAAAGCCAAGGAATCGACGAGACACTGTGCAAAGCATTGAGAGAACATCATCAGCCCGTGTTGACGTTGCAGAGGTCTCTGAGCATTTCCGAGGGATGGCATCTTCTGAATGTGGTATCGATGCATCAGCTCCAACCTTCCACTGGCAGAATTTTCCACCTAAAAAACTTAATTGATTCCATTAGCTTTACTATTATTATTATTATTTTTAATTGCATAGCTTTAACTTCAGATGAAAACAACCACGAAGAGAGCCACGATATTTAGATTAAGTGTTTTTCCATGCATATAAGCAAAGCAGGCTGCCAAAAACACACGCCAGTAGTACATCTTCTGCTATCTAATCTATTACAAGGCATCCTGATAGGAAAAAACGCCCTTGCTTTATTGGTTAGAGAAGTGATGTTTTTACAGATTTCAGAGATATGTGATGCTATCTGCGGAATTTAAGTGTGTCTTCCTTGTTATGGCAGATTATGAAGGAAATCCAGTTATACACCATTTGTCCACATTTGCAAGGCAGATCACACGGCAGCTGTAACACAGCAGCTGCCCTCGTGCAAGGTTACTCTGAAGTAGAGGGACAGGCTGCAAGTTAGCACTCCGTGGCTTCTTCACTCTGGCTACTTTCAACAAACAGAAGACCTCAATACACTTTAGGCACTTGCACGGATTTATGTGAGCGGACTTAAGACTTTTCTATGTCTTGGAAGAACTTAAAAGAGACAAATAGATCAGATTTGTGGTTCAGGAAGAAAATACCTTAGGAGGGAAGGAAGTTCTGGAGAGCTATGAGATCAACAAGGAAAATTTGCAGAGACAGTCATTGCAATGGGGGATATGAAGCACATTGTGCTAAAACAGTTTTGTTTTTTTTAATGGGAAGTCAATGCATAAAATAAGAAAACATTTTACTGCAAAATTCTGCAATTTTTTCTAGGTAAATAGAGGGAAAAAAACCATATCTAATTCTGGTTATCAGAAGATATCTGTTTCAAGCTATTCAGAAGAGCACCTTCTGCTGTGAACTAGAAGAAATAAACTTGAGTCCAGCCTATCTGCTTTCCTATGCTATTTTAAGAAGGGATGAATTATGTTCTGGAGATTGATCTTCCTTTGGTATGGATGATGCTTAGAAGCTCAGTTTGGATGAGATGCCAGATCTAAGGTTGGGTGATATCAGATACACCCAAAGCTTTCTTTTTCCTGTTCTCATCTGCCCCACTTTGTTTCTATCCATGAAGAGCATTCTGCATAATGCATTGAAGGGGACAGAAACACAGAAACTCCAAGGTGAAAGATGCAGAGGATATTCATTGAAAAATGCATCAACAATATAATTTCACCAAGGGAAGGGCCATTATCATGATGGTTTCTGGTGAAACCCATATTGAAATCTAAACTGATGGTGCAGCACAGGCCATTGAACGTACTGAGTAATTTGTCCTCTCAGACTAGAAACTGGAATTGACCTACAGAGTACTTTGTACCACAGCTGGAAATTATGATAAAAAAACCCCAGGGCTGAGCCTCAGCTGCTGGTAACTGCTTTTAAGCCCAACACATTTACAGAGCTGAGAGAAGCCACACCACCCAAGAAGACATCTGTAAACTGGCCAGCTGCTAACTCCTGGTTATTGGGAGAGCTCTAAGGCTGATTCACGTAGAAACATTGATGGACAGACCCCAAAATGCTCGTCTGCATCACCCTGGCTTGTTTGAACATATTGGGATCAGCTGTAAAGATGCATCCTGAACCTTCACTGAGAGGGAACCAATGCTTATGCGCTCTGATAGGAAGGAAAACTTGCAGATAGCATACTTGCTTCATTAGCTTTTTTACGTAAATGCCATGGTGAAATGGAAAAAACAAAGAACAACCTGTGTAAGCACACTGCTGGTATCCTGCATTTTTGCCTTCTCCCTGGCATGCACAGTACTCTATTGAATTGTCCCTTGTTTTTTATGCTCTTCTGTAAATCCCAAATCACCACAATACTCTGAGGTACAATGCTGATAGCTCTTCCACGTCAGTTCCATTTTTAGTGTAAATTATGTAGCTTAATCTGTATCCAAACTCTCATCTAGATCACAAATGGAAGGCACGTGAATGACTGATTAATCTTCCCTCCTCTCTCTAGAAAGTGTTCCATGCAGATTGCTTTACTGTTTTATCATCTTCACTGTCCATCTGGGTAACAGATACAGCTGTTGATACAGGAATTCACGTCTGTTGCTTCCAAAAAGAATTGTGGTACTTAAAATCTCTAGCTCCCTTGACTGAAAAATCTCCTGAGAAGCAGTTCATGTCTCTTTGCTAAAAGTGGGGAAGCAGCAGGTTTGTCCTGATGAAAATATGTTCATTTTCAGAGATCTCGTTACCTAACTAGCCACAAAATGTGACTGCAGTGAGGCAACCTTCACAGGGTTGGCATGTTTACAGCAGTGTCACATAGGCTTCAGTTCTGAGCTCCATTATTTGACATTTCTAACAACTATAGAGAGGAATATAGACAGTAATTTCCAACTGCTAGCAGCTGACCCAAAAACTGCACAAGTGGTGGTAACAAAGAAATTGGTACAAGACCATCCTATTAATTTAAAGGAGGCCAAGGAAAGACATAGAACATAGTTTCCTACATATTTGCCATAATCCATGTATTTCTATACATTGGTAATAAATTCCTGAAGAGACCTTGGCCAGTAGCCTTGCAGGACTGCAAGGTTATCACTGACTGCCCTTGGATGTATGAACACAAAACCTTGCAGGAATCAGGAAACCATATAAGATCTGTACTTGCTTTGTTGTGACCAGTACCAGAACACTGCACTAATTATTCATATCTCCATCAGATTGGGTAATGAAATAAATTATTAAATAAGGAAAAATGTCAACTAAAAACCTGGAGAGGGTTCAAAGAAGGGCAATGACAATACTTGCAGAATTAGAAAACAAGAGATCTCTTCATGCAAGGAAAGATAAGCTATGATTCCAAGGAAGCCGAACTAAAAATAAAGTGTGTGTTTCTAACAGCAAGTAAGCACTGAATAAACCACCAAAGCCCGGGGATCCTCTATTGCTACACGTTATAAAATCAAAAAACAAAAACCGAAACAATGCTCTTCCAGAGATACACAGTGCAACAGAAACCTGGCTGTACAGAGTTATTACCATGAGATACTCAGTAGGGGGTGGAGGGGTAGGGGAAGATAGTCACAGGGGCTTCACTGGTTGCAAAACACAGCAAATTTTGCTACAATGGAACAACAATTATCCAAAAAGGTGAGCAAATCCTGCTCTAACAGCAAGGATTAAATACAGTAAATGACAATTGTATTTTGACCCATTCCTAAAAAATGGAATGACTGGGAATCTGTGTATAGCTCTGCCTAGAAGGACACAGTAAGTTCATATTCCCTTTCCTCCTGTTTTCTCCTTTGCACCTTTCTTCTTCACACTGATTTCCTGAAGGTCTCCAGCACACACTGTAAAATGGTTGCACTAAGAATACCTTGATTATTAAATGGGAACCCAAGCAACAAGCAGGCACTTCAGTGGGATTTTTTTTCTGATATACTTCTTAATTCATGTGTTGCCAGATACGAAGTCCACATTTCAACATGAAGCGCAGTATATTATCAATACAAAGATAATTGGGTTCTGCTGCTTGCTCAGACAGGCAAATTCTTGGTATGAAAACTTTAAAAATCTACGGTGTCATTTTTAGACTCTTCCATCTCAGCCTCTAGAATGAGAAAAGGGGATAGTTCACACTTTCCTGCAATATAAAGGAGATTTAACAAATTAAAAAAGTATTCTGTTTCCATGGAGGGAAGAAGCACTAAGAACTTCTGTAAACCAGCAGTTTCTATTTGTTAAGTGGCATCATGGCTTATTACTATTTAATACTTAGGATCCAGCTCCGAAGCAGGAACACAGTGTGTGAAGTGCCATACAAACACAGAATGAAAGACTGTTTCCTGCCCTTAATAGCTGTAATCGAAATGCTTCAGCAGCCCTGCTATCTGTCACTGCTCTAACCACTGTTTTGGAGTCTCAGTGTCAATCCTTTAGCGCCCTGCTCTGCTGCTGTCAGCTTCACAAATGAAGCAGCTGAATGCAATGGGTGACAAAGCAGTTTTTCTTGTAACAAAGAACACCTCTGATTTAACAGACATAATTTAAATACATGCAGGCAGCAAATACAGCATGGAAGGCCACTGGGAACACTGAGCAGAGGGGATGCTGGCTTTTCAGAGAGCGTAAGGGCCCTGAAAGGTCTCAGCCACTTCATCTGCAGACTGAATTGCCCAAACAGAAGTCTGTTTTTCTGTCCTTCACCTCTGATTGACCTCGATTCATGCAAGGAAGATGGCAATGAAAATGGAACCACTCACAACGAGGCAGCAGGAGTGCTCACAGTAAAAGATTCAGGTTGGGCATTCACAGTTTCATCGACAGACACATTAACTCTTACAGTAAAAACTGCACTGCTGTCCATCGAAACATTAACCATTGAATTTTTTTTAGATGCACGTCCTTGGCAGAGAGTGAAGTGAGTATAGAAATACATGCAGAAATGGAAAAAAATGGAGTAGAATTATTTGCTACCAGTCCAGTGGATGTCATCATTTTTAGTGGCTTCTAAGTGTTGGGAATCATCAGTGTAGGTGATGCTATAAATAAGAGAATATGTTTTAAATGGAATTCAGTTTTTCACCAAACATTTCCAATTTTTTGAAATGTATACCATCGAAATATCACAGTTATCCATCATATGCATCTCCACGTTTACTTCTTTAATGGATTTTCTTTAAGCCACTGCAGATTTTTAGGATATCACCTGAGGTCCTACTTCTCAATGATTCTAACTGCATAGAAATATAGAGAAAACTCCAAATGGACTGCAAACAAGGGACTACTTGAGCTCAAAGAGGATATTGTTTCATGTACAGGAACTATAGAAAACCTGCCTTAAGTTGGACTAGATGATTTCCAGAACTCCCTTCCAACCCCTACAATTCTGTTATTCTGTGAATCTGAAGATAGAGATGGGAGCTCATTTCTCAGGTCCCCATCTGAGATATGAATTTTATAGGAAGCCTGGCTCCTGCAACATGGATTTCCTGCTTCCCCAGATTCTTTCGGGAGCATCAAAGAATTCTCAGCATGGCTGTAAAAATCCACATCCAACATCTCATAAAGCTGAATAAATTCTGTGTCTTAAGAGCATCACATTCTTGTTTGACTGGGAGGTGAATGGCACTTCATTCTTTTGACACAGTACATTTTTGAGGGAATTATCCGCCCCCCCTTAGACTAGACTGTCATTTTATCATATTCTTTTCTATTCAGGCAACAATCCAACTTCTTTACAACCCTCCATATGAATTTTGCATTGAATCACTCTCATTTCCTTCCTATAATGTCTTTGCTTCACATTTGTGCATTATCTTTTCCCTTATTCTGAAATTCATAGTGCAAGGCATCTGTCTAGTTCACAAACTTTCCATGCAGTCAGCAATTTTTGTACAAACTTCCCTTCTCCTGACCATGACTTTACAAACAATTCTCTGAAAAACAAAACATCAGTGTTCCAGCTTCTGCATCTTGCACCTTAGGAAATGCACTGCTTGTTGCTGCATACAAAATATGTGTTATGTGTATTATTTCCTAAAAGATGGAAGATTTTATAATCCATTCACTTCTTGTTCCTGTGTTTTTATTGCAAACATACACATAGACACTGGTATTGGAAGATTTGTTACTTAGCACATATTCTATATACACATAAAAAACCTAACATGAAATCATGCAAGATTGGCATAGAATCATACAGATTGGAAAAGACCATAAAAATAAATTGTCCAATCATCATAGAATCGCAGAAGGGTTTGGGTTGGAAGGTACCTCTAAGATCATCCAATTCCAACCCACTGCTATAGGCAGGGACACCTCTCTCCAGCTCAGCTTGCCCACAGCCCCATCCAGCCTGGCCTTGAGTCCTTCCATGGAAGGGGCATCCATAGCCTCACTGGGCAACCTGTCCCAGTGTCTCACCACCCTCACAGAGGGTGAAGAAAATAATTTCTTCCTAATATCTTCTCTAAATCTACCCTATTCCAGTTTAAAGCCATTTTCCCTCGTCCTGTTGTGTTGGCTAAACATGACATAGTGGACTGCTGCAAAGATTAGTGGAGTCTAGGGGGGAAAAAAAAAAGCATTATAAAACATATTACCATACAAAGAACATGTAGCGCATTTTTATAAATGTCTATGCCCTTCTCAACCTTCTCATACCCAACTTGGGGCTCAGACAGAAAGCCAGAGAACCGATGTGTCGTGTACATACCCTGAGAGGGTCACGCAGGTAAAAATCCCTCTGAGCTGTACTGGTGGATGGCAAACTGAATATGAAGCCCAGAAAGCCAATTGTATCCTGGGCTGCATTGGAAGTAGTGTGGCCACTAAGCCAAGGGGGACTCAGCCTGGTCTGGTGGTTGGACAACCCTGCACATAGCAGGGGGATTGAAACTAGGTGATCACTGTGATTCTTTTCAACCCAGGCCATTCTATGATTCTATAAAGTGAGAGACAGTCTAGAAGTAGAGTCTGGTGTGATAGGACAAGGGGAAATGGTTCCAAACTGAAAAAAGGGAGATTTAAACTGGATTTAAGGAAAAGAACTTTTTACTATAAAGGGTGGTGAGACAGTGGCACAGGTTGCCAGTGGCACAGGTTGCACAGAGCGGTGCCCCATCCCTGCAGACAGCCAAGGTCAGGCTGGATGGGCTGTGAGCACTGATGGAACTGTGGATGTCCCTGTTCAGTGCAGGGAACGGGATAGATGGCCTTGAAGGGTCCCTTCCAACTCAAACTATCCTACGGTTCTACGACGAAAAGAAAACAACTGCGTATGAAGGTGCAAGAACACGGGCGCTGAGAGCTCCGAGAGACAAAACTCGGCAGGCTGAGCCGCGGGGAGGCCCGGTTTCGGGTGGAAGCGCGGCGAAGCACCGCAGACGCACCCCCAGCGAAGGGCCGTCACGGCGCAGCGCAGGGCACGCAGGGCCGCTCGCCAGGGGGCGGGCCTCGCACCTCGCCGCCTCACGCCCTCCCGCCCTCCCGCCCGCCGGTCCCAACGGCCGCCGCGCGCCGCTCACCCTTCGCCTCCCTTCCCCGCCCTCAGAGGGCGATGCTAACAGCGCCACGGCGCCTCCTCCGGCTCTGTGGCTCCACCTTCAGGATGGGCGAATCGGCCTCCAGGCTGCCGCGGAAGGAAGAGGCGCTCCCCGGCAGGAGCCAGCGCATCGCGGTGGCAGGTAGGGACCGGACCGGCCGCCCCCCTCCCCCTCACCCTCACCCGTCCCTGAGGAGAACGAACCCCGGGCCCCACGGCGGCCCCGCTCTGCCCGCCTCCGCCGCCGCGCATGCGCACGAGGGTGGCGGCGCAGGCGGGGTGGGGCGCAGCGCGGTGGGCGGGAGGGGGAAGATGGCGGCAGCCTCCTCGGTGTTTGAATCCTGAGGGCTCTGTAAAAGGCGTAATAATATCACTTAAGCGTAGCGTGAAGGATCTAACCCAAATGTATGGGAAGTTCTTAGAAAAAGCAGTTCCTTCAGTGACTATTTCTCCCTTGAATTTGAGTAAACGTGAGCTTTTAAGTACATAAGGTAGAAACCTTGAATTTAGCAACTAATCCTACCTTCTGTCAGGCAGCCTAGCATGGAAAGCATTGCAAAATGACCGCCATCGATTTTAATAGCAATTAGAGCAGAACCAAAACGCCTCAGCGTGTGTTTAGGATGAGAGACAGTGTCCTCATGTTGTTCAGGTTCAGGTTGGATGTCTGAGGAGACATTTCTCCTCAGGAGTGCTGATGCACTGGGACATTCCGTCCTTGTGGGATCACAGTCCCTGGAGGTGCTGCAGAGCTGTGGGGATGTGGCACTAAGGGACAATCCAGTATTTGAAGAGAGTGTATAAACAGGAGGGGGAACAGCTGTTCATGAGGGTGAATAGTGATAGGACAAGGGGGAATGGTTTTATTCTGAAACGGGACGTTTAGGTTAGAAATACCCAGTGTGAGCCTCTTAAGGCACCGTTAGTGGCTGCTTCCTTTTCCAGTACTGAGAGGGGTTTGTTTCGCTATCATTCTTACACCCTATTCAGCTACTGTAAGATTGACCCTTAATTCTTCCTCTGCCTGCAGAAATGTGTGCTGTAGGCTGCTGACCATCTTGGCCATTGTCATTGCAGACCACTGCACCTTATAACTCAGCCCGCTGCACAGTTTGCTGTATTTGCAATGAGTGTACATTACTGTTTTCTTTTTAACCTGACACTCAGTACAATCCCAGATCCTTTCCAGCAGGGCAGAGTTTGTCTTGCAGCAGTGTTTCTCCTTGTTAACCTTCATGAAGTTTCTGTTGACACAGGCCTGAAATCGTTCAAGGTCTCCTTGTACTGAAGATCTGCTGTTTGACATGCCCACTCTCATCTTCAATTGAGCATCATTCTCAGACTTGCTGAGCATGTTTTCTGTCACATCACTCATGTTCTTGTTTAAGATATTGAATGATATTGGCCCCAGCACGAGCCCCTGGAGTAACCTGCTGCAGACAAGACATCAAGCTATTGATCACTGCCTTTTGATTTTGGTGATCCTGCCAGTTTTTGATGCATTTAGTGTCAAGTGGACTGTTCTTTCAGCCTGTGCTTTCACAGCTTCCAAATGTTTATGCTGTAAAAGATGGTGTCAGAAGCTAAAGTCAACATGTCACCTGCTGCTTTACCCTAATCTGCATAGCCAGTCCTTTAATTGTAAAAGGCAACCTGTCTGGTCAAGCATGATTTGTCCTGGGTTGAGTTTTCACCAGATGAGATTTTTCTTTCTGGTCTAGAGGGATGCTGGTTTAGCAGGAGGTGTCCTTGATGATCTTAAAGGTCCTTTCCAACCCAAACCATTCTATGATTCTGTGATTCTTCCATGGGCAGCCTCCTGCATTGTGTTAATTGTATTGCACCCAGCTGCACATCTTGGAAGTCACATTTAATCTAGCTACATTGCATTTCTTTTTCTTTGTAACATGCTGACCATAGGAATATGTGACTGTGTGTGGTTGGTTGTGATTCAAATGGCTCGGTCTGCAGAAGTCGGGGAAAGTTGGGTGAAATACCCTGCTGTGAGTTCAGTACATTGCAGACTGTAGTAAGCTTCACTTACTCTTTCTGTAATTTAGTTAGATCTGTCTGATTTTCAACAACTTCCAGAATCTGGGAGTGATGTGTTAATTTCATTGCAGGAGAGCTGCTGCATTCATATTTGAAAATTCTTTCATATGATCTCTACATAATCACGTAATGCAATATCATGTTCTGTAGTAAAATCACATGCTATATGTTCCTTTTTACCTTTTCAGTAGAACTCTAGTTGTCAGAATTAATTTTAGATGCAGTATTGCTGAAATCTTGCTGTTTTTGTGAGTATGTGAATATATATTGCTTACACTATTTAATTGGCTGTTTATTTATGATAGTGGTAGGAGCACTATTCAAGGAGCCCCAGTGATGTAGAGGGAACCAGCTGTGTGAGGCATTATGTAATTATATATTTTTATATATATATATATATATATATACACATACATACTTCTAGTTGTTTTTCCTCAGCAGAATATTGTTAATTAGAAGTTTGTCCCACTGATTGCAGTGAGCAGTGCCAGGAAATAGCTTAGCTCACAGTGTGTACATCTGTACTGAGCTAACTTTTCTGAAGCAGTAAAGGTAAAACTCATGAGTAGACAGTCTCACAATTATTTAGAGCTATTAAAACCCTTGTATTTGTGTGTATATATATATGTATTTCTAGATTAATAGAGTAATCATTGCAAACTTGGAGGAGGTCATTGCGAATTTCTGTCTGACCTTCCGTATAAAAAAAGAGCACAACATTTCCATGAATTAATTCTTGCTTGAATCAGCTTGTTCTCTTTGGAGAAAACACTGATTAAAAATGCCCTTTGACAGAGAGCCCTCTGCAAAATTTCACAATTTTTTCCAATGTTTCATAACTTCCTCCATTAAAATACAGCCTATTTTGAATCTCCTAACTGTGTTTGAACTTCCAGCCATTGCTGCTTGTTACAGGCTTTTCTTTTCATCAAGGTGAAAAGTGTGACAGTATGTGTTTTCAGCTTTCCCTGAAATATATTTAGATGGTAATTGCACATTAACCTCTTTTTAAAGAAGCAAAGACTTAATCAGACATAAAGCAAATGAAGTGAACTGTCAACAGAAAGCATGTTTTTCAGTCCTTCATTTGTTCTTGTTTCTTTTTCTTAAACTGTCATCACTTAGTTATCATCTTCCTTGACGTGTCGCTATCAGTAGTGACATAGGAATTTATTAGTGATAGTTTTAGTGTCACCTGCAGTCCTGTTCCTACTCAGTATTTTCCTGTTTGTATATCATGGAATCACAGAATGGCCATGGTTGGAAGGGACCTCAAGGATCGTGGATCTCCAACCCCCTGCCACATGCAGGGCCACCAACCTCCCCATTTCATAGCAGCCCAGGCTGCCCAGGGCCCCATCCAACCTGGCCTTGAACACCTCCAGGGATGGACGGGGCATCACAGCCTCTCTGGGCAGCTGTTCCAGCACCTCACCACTCTCATAGCAAAGAACTTCCCCTGACATCCAACCTCAATCTTCCCTCCTTCAACTTAAACCCATTTCTACTTGTCCTATCATTATCTTCCCTTTCAAAGAGTCCATTCCCCTCCTGTTTGTAGGCTGCCTTTTAGGTACTGGAAGGCTGCAATGAGGTCTCCCTGCAGCCTTCTTTTCTCCAAGCAGAACAACCCCAGCTCCCTCATCCTGTCTTCATAGGGTTGGATTCTACTCTCATCCTCTTTGTTTTGTATTAGCTCTGTATTCAGATTGATCAGTAAGACTGCAGTTTTATTTGCTTTGCTGTTGTTAGATGTGTGATCTCTGAGAGTAAGGGTGGTTGTGCCTAGGTTGAGTTGGGTTAGAACATGGTGTTCAGGAGGGTCTCAGTGTCTGTACAGAACTGATGGGAGGGAGTAGAGAAGGAACAGCAAGACATTTGCTAGTTCCCCGTGGAGGGACAAGAGACAACAGGCACAAGCTGAAATGCACAGAGTTCCATATAAACAGAGGAGGAAAACTTTGATGTTTGAATTTTCCCCAGGCTGAACAGAGATAGGTCATTTTTTCCTAAACGTCCTGGAGGATGTACTGAAGTTTCACAACAGGGATCCCTTTCTCTTCCTTCAGAGAAGGAAGAGTCTCTTTGCATTAATTTATGCACAGTGTGGTCACGCATTTGATGGGAACTGCTTTGCTCTTCCCATCTGTCCCCTGGCTCTGGAAGTAGCACATATTTTTCATAGGATTCAGGCAGATTGGATTCCACCTCAATGGAACCTATGTGCATGAAGAATAACATATTTTTCATTTTTACAGGGAGTTTATTTCACAAGAGTTATTTAAACAAGATGATACGTCCCATTAGGACCTCTTTAGTTGATTTCTAATGCTGCATTTGGTGCTTTATGGCAGCGTACATCTATCACAGAATCAGAGAATCACAGGATCATAGAATCACAGAATGGCCTGGGTTGCAAAGGCCCACAATGCTCATCCAGTTCCAACCCCCTGCTGTGTGCAGGTCACCAACCAGCAGCCCAGGCTGCCCAGAGCCACATCCAGCCTGGCCTTGAATGCCTGCAGGGATGGGGCATCACAGCCTCCTTGGGCAACCTGTTCCAGTGCCTCACCATCTCTGCTGAAACCAGGGCACTGTTCCTCGCTATTGGTCAATGGAGACATCATGGCAGTCTCCTTGTTGTTGTGCCCTGTTTGTGCTGCCCAGCGTTAGGGAAAAATCTATCACCTTATGTTTATTCTGTGCCTAAATACATATACGGTGTTACCTTGAGAAGTTTTAAATAGATTTCCCCTGATGTTCTGACAGCTTACTGAGTTGTGTCTGACACACAAGGTTCTGCAATGGAATTGTGAACTAAAATGTAAGCGTAGTGTTTTCCAGGCTGCTTTTCAATAAAGATAAGGAAGAAAGCAAAAAACATTAGATATTATTTCATTTCATGAAGTAAAAAAGTTCATTAAGCATGGGCAAATCTGAAAACTTGTGGGCGTGAATTTAATATCACTGTACAGAAGGTCTAAAATAGAGATTGTTGAGTGGGACTGTGCCTCAGAACAGAGTTTACAAGGGAAATGCAGTTTCTCTGGAGGTTTGGGAGTAGCTTTGTTAAGTTTTGAGCACTTTACC